AACTCCTTCGCTTGGTATACCCTGAACGCCCTCACAAAGTCCATGTCAGTGGCCTCAAACGGGAACTCCTCCACCATTTGAGCGACGACAGACTTCTTCGACGCCATTTTACAAGTACGCGCCAGTTTCTTTTGTGAAGTCTGGAGAAGGGAATTGGAAGGAGTTGACGCAACGGTGGGTAACCGTACTTGCCTACGCTGAGACGGGTCACTCGCAGGGTAGATGCGGAGGGAAAATGCAGGTATCTGATTGGACCTCGTAAATCCACCTAACATACGATACGCACGCTTAGTGACGAGTTTAGCCAAGCCTCATTCCCCTGTACGAGCGCGACACTCTTGATAAGTAACGTAGCGTCTTGTCGAGTGGCGAGCCGCACACCAATGGAGAGCGAAATGGAGCGACCAGGAGACTGCTCCACCGTCTAACACCACGACATCACGCTGGAGGGAATGGAAGACTTGTGATATGAATAGTTTATTTATATGAGTACTAGGTCGCAAATGCACTCAGCCAGAGTACCAGGATTTGGAAATTTTCCCTTTTTATAAAGATAATGGAGTATAGAAATATATTATGGATACGCCTAGCTACCTGAGCACCCTTAACCCCAACAGCCCCTTTTGGTAGGACAAAAAATAGGACCAATTCTCACTTCTGTTGCTTGCCACAAGCAAAAAAAAAAACAGCAATTAGATGCTAGGCATGGCCACCCAACACGTTAAGCAGCAATATAAACCCGTTTGTGATGAAAGCAACTGAAATCTTGCTTCGTGCATAACGACTGAAACTTGGCGTCGTGAAGAGCTACGTGACGACGATTTGTCCTACATACCAGGCCAAAAATTTGTCCTTTTCCATAGGACAAAGTTTAAGGAGCACTTATTCCTGCTCCTGTAAGCGCAGTGATCGCCTACGCTTCTTGCTTTGTAAGCGCACTCTCGGAGCACGCTGCTTTGAGGTATTCAGCGAGTTCCGTTGACGGTTTGGTGCGGTTCTAACCCGCGAGTTTTGTCTTGTACTCGGGAGAAGCTGCTCGGGTGCTTCAGGCGGCTTTGATAACTCTTGATCAGCGTGAAATCTGGTGTAGCACGACAGTTGACCGACCCAGCGCTCGGTACGACACAGAGCAACCCCACAGTCACTGCACTGATACCGCGTTTTAAAACCTTTCCGAGTATGTCCGGCATTTTCTTGGTCGTGCTTCAGCTGGCAGCATAGAACACAGCATAATTGTGTAGATTCACCTTCAATTAATATCTGGTACGAAGTCCACGGGTTAGAGCGTACATATATCAAAATGTTTCCAGATCAAATAGCCTTACGTGGTCGTGTTTCAATCGCCCTGATAGCCGTCGATTTATCCACTCCGGATCTCTGTCGTAGTGATCTCTCTTTTTGTAAGCAAAACCTCGCCCCGACCACAGCTCATGTGTGTCATTTTCATTATCTCCCGGAAGATTTTCCAGTGATCGCAGAACGCGCGTTGTGTCGGAGGTGGCAGGGGCTCCGAGGGAAAGAGCTGCATCACGGCAAAAACCTTTAAAACTGGCGAGATTGTGTTTGTAGCTTTGGTACGAGGTATACGACAAACACCGCGTGTTGTCGCGCAGGTGGTCTTCCGCCTAGTCGTGTATACACTATGATGAAAAGGAATCAAGAAAAGAATTGTAAAGATCACATTACCTGAAAGAGTTGGTGTGACTGGTACGCATTATATACGAGTGTCATGAGCATTCGTAGCCAAATTGCCGCCGTCGGCGGCAGTGATGAATGGCAAGCCTTGGCGTTTTTAAGATATCGAGAATAAACGTCGATACCTCCCTTAATCCGATTCCAGTATGCAACCAACGATGGTAGGATATGCTTTGCAGGTGGCAAAGGACACCCTTTTTCATCTACCATCCGTACGAGAGCTCTCCACAAGTCCAAATTCTGTGCCAAGGTATCGAAATCAATACAGTGACCTAAGTCGCGCGAGGAAAACGATGGAATTGGCACAGATTCATCGTAGATCCACCTCATGTATGCTTCACGAATTACCAGCATCGCCTCATGGTATGTTCCACACATATCGTCTCCAACTGAAATATGAACCACACGAATGATCTTTGTCGGTGAGGCATAAACAATAAAGCCATCGCGAAGCCCACTGCAAACGATCCCATGGAGAATTTGACATCTGTGACTTGTATCTGGTATCAATTCTTTGAACGTCGTAGTACCGTACCAGCTTGCAGCCACCTCTACAGAGGTAAACACTCCAAACTTTTCCGCCAGCTCGTTTTCTTTCTCTTTTGTTCGCTCTACCACCCGTGTCTTATATTCCATCACAGCAAAAAATCTGCCTCGATTAGTGCAGAGAATCGATCCTATGTCATCTGGTGAAAAGGCAGCGTGAGGAGCTTCACGTCTAGAAGAATAACAAAAGCTTTATCCAGTAACAAATTCAATTGTTAGCAGGGACAACCCACTTACCCGCACAGTAGACCGTAATCTTTCAGTCGCTCGACATGGTAACGAGAATGTTTGTCGAAAAACTGTTGAATGTGATCTGAAATACTTGCTTCATTGTGTGAGCCAATTTTCATCGCAGCTGACGACGTTGGCGACATGAACCAAGACGACAAAAGTTCCCCACCAGAGGAGTTTTGATCCGTAGTGTCGGTCAAATTCCCATTACAAAGCCTCTCAACAAGCTCCTTTTTTCTGCCGGTAATTGGGAGGCCACCATCACGACAAAGCGACTTCAATTCTTCACATGTTTTGGCTTCTAGCTCTTGTCTAGAGAGGAGAACAGGGGCAACTACTTCCCCATTAGACACGCCACGAGAGCATTGAATTGACAGCAGCAATAACACCGTTTTCACGTGTGGATCAGTTACGGGGTCTTGCACTAGTTGTGGATCCGGTGAAGAACGAGCAATATGGTTAAAAAATTCGACTAGCTGTCGAGCCTGTAATCCAAAACTTTCGCATAAGAAACCAGTCCGGAGTACGTTGTGTCTCCATTAGCTTCTGAATGCCACATTCGAAAGCTTCAAACAAGCTGTCAATATTTGACACACTTTGCGTTTTGGGTGGGGTGCAAATACATGACCAGCGCCCCGGTCCAAAAGCTCGATCTGTAGTATAGCATGTGGCCACTTTACCAAGACCGGATCGATACGCTAGAGCATACGCAGTTCCCGCCGCAGTATCTGTTGCTTTTACAGCAGGAAGTTTTTTTGACGCCCAATACGCTGTTTTTACACCCTTCTCTGCAATTTCTCGTTGGTCTTTACCAGCTTTCTTTCCGTAGGTAAACGGAAAGTTACCAGTTCGCTCGTGTGTGCCAACTATTTTACCACCAACGTTATGGATGTGCTGGCTTACTGCAATGGATTGATAACCCCGGTCCAATGCATGAACTATACCAGGGAGTTTAATCCGGCTTTCAGTAGCGGCACCGCATAAAGACCGTTGTAAAAGCTTCACAATGTCTACAGTCTGCTCCCCACGAGTGGCAACATGCCCTCCGAGAAACAGTCCCGTTGTAAGAAAAACAATCCCATGTTGAACGGGTCCATACCTGTATACATCACCGATATAAGCATTGATGAAGACGCAATATATTCACGGCATAATGTGCTTACCCCTTTTTTGGGTTTCGAACATGTGTCAGCCCCACGTCATCAACCAAATGAGACCGAAGGCGAATCATATCATCATCAAGCGAGGCAATTGATGTGCCTTCTACGAATCCGATTTCTCCACACAACTGTCTAATGAGTCCAGCCACATGAGAAATATCTCTATCAGGACTCATCGGAGCGGTCCATTGCTCTGTCATACCATCACTACGAGCTCTTTGCACTCCCAACGCATTCAATATTGCCATGTATCGCGTTTGCGGCATCGCGCTTTGTGCCGGGGGAAAGTAATTACGATTGTCTCGGTGGTAGAAGAATGTCGGCGTGACGGCATAGTAGCTCAGCCAAAGCTCCACCTCCACAAACTGCAGCAACGCTTTCACGCACACATGCCACTCCGGCTCCATGCTTCTATTCACGACGTTCTTGATTGCAGATAGTATGGATTCACCCATCCACGCACTTACTAGATCACCGACACTAGCTCGCCCAGACGACGACGATCCAAACATGCGCCGTCGAAGACGCGCCAAAACCGCGCCCGCTTCAGTACGAGACTTGATCAGCAGCGTGCGCTCAACATCGTTCACTTGCAGCTGCACTTCGCAGCTCTCCACGTCTCGCCATGTCGTTGCCTCAGTAGCGGTGTTCTCGTCGCTATCAGACGAAGAACTGCTAGATGAGTCGCTCTCAAGCATCTCCTTGTAACGTTAAGGGCCCTGTAGCTGCACTAGCGCGCGCGCCAAGAGTGCGGTTGAAGTTTCCCTTCAGAGTGTCAAAAACGTCTTAAGTACGATTGTTTTTGTCCTTCAAAAGGACAAAATTCCCCAGAAGGCGGCAAACACTGACCAAATTTTGGCCCTTTCTCCAAGGACAAAATATGTTGGGGTTAATAGCTCGATGAAACAAAAATAAATACACCTTTTTTCATGTTTTGTCTCTCACAGTAAATCGCTGTCACTTCATCTGCGGTCGCCAACCGCGGTGCATAGACTGCAGCGACCACACACCCAAGATCGACTAGTTTCAGCTACAGTACAGCTACACCTTCAGTTTGATGTCATGAGAAACTCATTTTGTCAAGCAGGATCCTTGTGAAGATCGATTATTCATGTAAAGGGAATGAAAAGATTCTAAAGCAATGAAATTCTAAACGAAAGGTTCAACATACTCGTCCCAGCCAAGCTGTCGCCTTCGCAGCCAATACCTTACGATGACGAAGAGCTCGAATGCAGTCAGCAATGGAGCTCATCCGATCGACCTAGCGCCCACCTCACTCCAGATAGCGCTCTGGGTCAGTCCCGACAGCGCTACAGCTGCAACCACCTTATTGCCAAGGATAATTAATTTCTACGTGATACGGACAGAATGGGAACTTGCTACAGATCCGAGAGTGACTAAAGACTGACGGTGAGGCGGCGCTAGAGACACGAGACGTGCGAGGTAATCGCGCACTGCATCTGGCGCTGAAGTTCGCTCATCGAAACTCAACAGCAATCGTCAAGTCTTTGTTGGTATAAGCCCCTCTGATCTCCGCAACGTCGATGCTGCACGAGGAGAATAGTACTGACTCGCTGGGTCCACTCGTAGGACGCTGGAGCAAGAGTTCGGTCTCGTGATACCGAAGGCTGGAAGGCCATTCACCATGCCTTGGTATCGGAAAACGAAGAGATTATGCGGCTTCTTATTTGCCGAGGTGAGTTTTAGCGCTTTTCAAGGGATATGGAGCACTGCAGTCTTCCAACAATTTGTTGCTATTTGAAGAGAAAGAGCAAGCACCTGCACTTCTGCAGAAGAAGATTGACAGCATTTGTCCCCGCCTGGCTGAAGTGCCCGACTTTTATTGTGAGATGCACATCGATGTTTCCACGTGGGTTCCTGGTGTCTCTCGCTGGCTGCCATCGGACACGGTGAAGATCTGGAAAGCGGCCCAGGATATCCGCTTCGATGTAACCTTAGTGGGCTACGAAAGGCAAGTGGAACCGAGGAGACTTGTCGTTTTTACTACTAGGCTCTGATGGGAAGTTCCTGTGTCTGGATAACGAGGCGGAGACGTGCACTAATCTGCTGAAGCTTGACACGGAGCTGACGGAGCTCGATCTCGACGAGATGGTGCACTTCTTGATGACCATGTCGATTGTTACGACCGATTTCGACGCATCCAATGTTGCCTTCGAGAAGAAATGCGCTTGGTTTTCTTCTACTCCGATGCTACAAGACATTGGCTGTTGGAAAGATACGCGGGTTGTTGACATGATCGGTGTGAAGGCATCGCTTCGCTACCGTAAGCCACACAACCCGAAGCATCCGCCTCCAAAATCGATCGACGAGCGAGTACGTAGAGGCAGCATTCTCAATTTGCCGCTTTCTGACTGTTTTTGAATTATGATTAGCAATCGACTGCGTGTAATGCAGTATCATTGTTGACCGAAGTGACTGCAGCTGCAGACCACTATACCGAGGTGGTGGTTGATCCCAAATCCAATCACGTTGTGTCGCTGGAGCTGGCGAAGGGCGAGGAGGTGGTGTGGAAGTTTTCAACTGAGAAGCGTGACATCATCTTTGGTGTTCGCTTTCTCCAAGAGAACAACGGGGATGAAAGGGACGAAATCATTCCTCTCCAACGTACCCAGGCTCATTTAAAAGAGCAGAGCGGTTCATTCAAGACTGCCAGCATAGGCACGCTTGTTGTCACATGGGACAACTCATACTCCCTTATTCGGTAAGTTTTTCGCGACTTGTTTTTTTCGCCTGCAGGGAGTTCCAATGGCTCGTTTGGAATGTAGACCGAAGAGGCTGAGGTTTGTAATAAGGAAAGAGACTCCCCTGAAATTGACGACTGGGACATGAAGACAAAAGTCAAAGAAGAGGAAATGACATTTGAAGACTGGTTTGGACTGTCTATTGAGAGTTTGCCCGTGTCGCTACGTGCTCTGCACCCTCGTCGCTGCATTATGGTGCACACTCAGCCATCATGCCACAAGATCACGAAGTTATTTCCTGCAACTGTCTACATGAGCGACCAATTTCCCCTCAGCGTAAGTTTTGTCATTGTCAATTGTGTATTTGTCTTTGTTGACATACTGTCATTATCGTCTGTGATGCAGGTGTCAGAGTTCCTCCCCGTGATTGAGCTATTCTCGAAAACTACGAGAGCATTTGAGAGTGTGCAGGAGTTCTTCTCAGCGGTACGATGCTGAAGTTCGGTTTCACTACATAATGCTAACTTTGCCATCACGGTGCATACATGAAGGCTTTATCGGACGGGTTCCCAGTTCAGTGTTGCTTTCCCTTGGCACCCTCCGTATCAGCGACCTTTCGTTTTGATTGCTTGGAACAACAAACTCCGGACCACGGTAAGTTCACAATTCCCACCACCTACTCCATGCATGCCGGAGACATGCTCTCGCCTCGAACACACCAAGTGATGCTGCAGCACGTGACGGCCACTTAAGCCGAGGCTTAACGCTAAAATATCAAGCCATTGTCTTCACGGTCGCACAGTGCAGGGTATCAATATTAGTTTTTGGAAGTGTCTACGTTCCACGACAAAGTCGCGCCTTGCTTGAAAAAAACTCTAGAGTTTGAGTACTACCTACCTGGCACTTAGTAAGTAATGACATTATAATTAGCGTTGTTGGATGCACGTAGTTGGATGCACGATAGATTATGCATCGCATCAAACTATGGGTGTATCTCTTAAATAATATAAATTACGCTTGTAGTACCTATTAACCAACGAGCTGGCCCAGCTTTTAAATTTCATTTTTATGATTTAAAAAAATGACAGATATGACCGTCATCTCCATTAGGCCAATTTTGACAGGGACTGCATCAAATGCATCTAGCTACTTACATCCCAGAGCTAATTATAGCTGTTTCATGGTGCAGTCACCAAGGAACCGGCGAAGAACGGGAGTTGTGCGTCCTCAAAGGGGGGGGGGGTGATGGCATTCTTCAATTTGTACAAACAATCCTTGGGGGTAAAACGAACAAATATCAATGAGAGTTTATGCAATGGGTGCCTTCCATAACATCATAAAAGGTTTCAATGACTAAGGTTTGGGTTGATTAAAGACCCCATGAAATGCAGTGAGAAGCATACTCAGAAAGAGCAAGGCAATGTCGGAAATGGCTTGGGGAGATTGTTGTGATTGCACTTTGCCGTCACTTCGCCTGGGTACCTACCTCTAGGCACGTGCCTGGAGCACGCGGTTGGTGCGTGGCAAGCGTGCCCTGAGGGGTCATAAGTTGAAGTGGGTCGAATGGAGATATCTGATTGGCTGCTCCCAAATGATTGGCATGGTTAAAGCCAGGGTCGGATTTGTGCATATCCAGTACACATACAAAACGCAAGTGATTTACGTTGCCAACGCCTATGACGAGTATAGGCGCTGCCGACGAAATGTATGTTTTGTTTGTGGATTTACATGTGATTAGGAGGACTACGGAGGAAAGTAGAAAGGAGCTAGCAAAGCAAGCCAGGAACAACTAACTCAATAAAACTCACTTTCGGATTTCATTTCTTCTTAACCCTCGACTACTACAAGCCTCGAACGCATACTCTCAATTGGTTATGAGCCCAAGCTACGCCGACAACATCGACAAGCTCGTGGAAGACAGCTACTTCCACTGGTAGTTTGACATGCGGATGAAGCTTGCTCGTAAGGGTCTGCTGCCGCAGATCATCAAGCCCGAGGTAGACCAAGTGAGTAATCGCTCCACGGCAGAATGGAAGACCAACGATCTGAAGGCACTTGGTGTTATCGCTGGAAACGTGAGTCTCACGTACCAAGTTTACGTCCGTGGAGCACTGACTGCCGCTGATGCGTGGACGATGCTCGAGGAACACTTCAACAAGTAGACGCTCAAGAACCGGCTTCTCGTCAAGAAGTTGAACAACTTCAAGATGGAGCCTGGAACCAAGTTCGCTTCCCACGTCGATCAGTTCAAGGAGATCGTCCTCCAAATGGAGACGATCGGTGAGACTCTGGACGAGACTCGCCAGCTCGTGTTGCTCCTTGACAGTTTGACGGACGAGTACAAGATGATCAGTACTGTCCTCGAGAACACGCCCAACGTGACGTTGGCCTACGCGATCCAAGCACTCCCTGGTGTTCAAGCCTCGGATGAATCGTCATCGGCTCAAGAGAAAGCTTTCGCTACGAAGAAGAAAGATTTTGGTGGCAAGCAACGTTTCAAGGGAAAGTGCCTCTACTGCAAGAAGCAAGGGCCCCGAGAGCTCGAGTGCCGTAAGAAGAAGGCCGACGAGGAATGAGGGCATGCGGCACGAGAGAAAGCGTCCGACTTCTCGTTCATGGCAACGAGTGCAATGACCAAGAGTGAATGGCTCGTCGACTCAGGTGCAAGCTCGCACATGACCAGCGTCCGGGACAAGTTCGTGTCCATGAAGGAGCTGAAGACGCCAGTCCGTATCACAATCGCGGATGGCACGAAGATCGACGCAGTTGCAAAGAGCACCGTCGGTATGAAGCTGATAGACGGGACGTCTGTCACGCTGTCGGATGTCCTGTACATCCCTGAAGTTAGTCGAAGGAAGCCTCATCTCGGCGGCGAAGCTGGCCGAGAAGGACGTCACCGCGCAGTTCAGCAAAAACAAGTGTGTCTTTAGCTTTGGTGGTGCTACCGTCATGGAGGCGAAGCGCTGTGGAAACATCTACAAATTGAAGACAGTGGGGGGCGAGGTGTGTCATGTTGCAACGACTACTCGTAAGAAGTCATGGGCTGTTGTGCACGCCCGACTTGGCCACATCCCGTACAAGCGCTACGAGGAACTACTGACCATGGCAGAAGGAGTGCCTCGCGTCACGGGAGAAGTCCACGGGGACGACGTGTGCGCAGGCTGCTGCATGGGCAAGATGAAGGCTGACAACTACCCGAGACATCCGGAGAAGCTCGTCAAGAGTGCCGGTGTGCTTGACCTGGTGCATACGGACGTAATGGGTCCGATGGAAACCACGACACCTGGTCGTTGTACGTACATCGTCACATTCATTGACGACTACTCACGCCACGTTACGCACTACTTCATGAAGGCCAAATCGGAAGTACTGTCGAAGCTCAGAACGTACAAGCCGGAATAGAGAATGCAACCGGCAAAACAATCTAGCACCTGCGTTCGGACAACGGCGGTGAGTACACGCGCCGGGAGATTAAGGCCATCTCAACCACAGCGGCAGCAAGCATGAGAAGACGGTGCCGTACATACCTCAGCAGAATGGACTGGCTGAGCGGATGAATCGGAGCCTCGTGGAGATGGCTCGCTGCATGCTCTATCATGAGTGTGTCGACAGGAAGTGGTGGGCAAAGGCAGTTAGCACTGCGGCCTGAATCATCAATCGAATTCCCAACTCGGTCAATGTGAAGACACCCTTCGAGATTGTGAGTCATTCCAAACCACAACTCAAACACGTGAAGGTGGTCGGTGCAGCTGGATATGCTCACATCCCCGACGAGAAGCGCCGCAAGCTGGATGCAAAAACGCTTAAGTGTCGGTTCATGGGTTATGAGGAAGGAGTGAAGGGGTACCGCGTCCTCAACATGGCAACAGGCAAGGTGCAAATCGTGCGCACCGTGAAATTTATTGAGACAACTGATCCTGCGCGCATCATGACTCACTTGGATACCGAAGACGACACAGACGCATTGGTGCCAAGCGTGGATCAGATGTCGCTGAATGACACCACGCAAATCGTTTCCACCGATGTTGAAGTTGCTGACGTGATTCCACTTCAACGTGACGTGAGCATGGATACTGCAATGATGCCATACGACTCGACACATCCTATGATTACTCGTTCGCGTGTTCGGCACATTGACGAGACAACGGATCCTGAGGAGGCACGCACCAGGAAGAAGCAAGCCATCCATGCTTCATCGTCGAGTGGGACAAAGCGTCAGAAGATGACTCAAGAGCGACCGAGGCCAAGTGGTAACGAGCTCGCCATTGTTGAGAGTAGACAGCTGATGGCTACCACCGGGGCTGTCCCGAAGACGTACGCAGAGGTGACTACTAGTGCGGACCAAGACAACTCGAAGAAAGCGATTGCAAGTAGACTTAAGTCGCTAACGGACAACGGTACCTGGAAGTTAGTGCCAAGACCAACGCACCAGCGCCCGATCGGTTGCCGCTGGGTGTTCGCGCTGAAGCGCAACGAGAAGGGATAAGTGATTCGACACAAGGCTCGTCTCGTGGCAAAGGGGTATTCACAACGACAGGGCATCGACTACGAAGAGACGTAAGCGCCTGTGGCTTACCTGAGCTCAATCAGGGCAGTGCTGGCCAAGTGTTGTACTGAAGGACTCGACATCGAGCTGTGCGACGTGGATACAGCGTTTCTGTACGGGAAGCTTGAAGAAGAGATCTACATGGAGCTGCCATAAGGTCTTCGGGAGCTACTGGCACTGGCAGAGACTCAAGGTGAAGATGATGTCGTCTGCATGCTACTGCAAAGTCTGTACGGACTCAAGCAGGCGTCTCGTGTCTGGAACGAGACCATCAACAACCATCTCAAGACCATGGGGTTTTAGGCTGCTGACGCTGACCCGTGCATCTACACGAGAGGTGCAGGTGATGACGAGTGCATCGTGTGTCTTTACGTGGACGACATGCTGATTGCGTCACGAGACAAGGCCATCATCGCGTCGGTAAAGGCTGGCATCGCCGAGAAGTTCAAGATCAAGGATCTAGGGCCCGCCCGTTTCATTCTCGGTATCAAGATCGACTACGACATCGATGGCAAGAAGCTTGGCATCTCAGAACACGCATACACCGAGTCGATCATCAATACGTTCGGTCAAGAAAACGCGAAGTCAAGCCTGATGCCACTAGACCCAAGTCTACACTTGACTAAGGAGGACGGACCGGAGACCAATGAAGACAAGGCTAAGATGAAGTTGAAGCCGTACCGATCGCTCATTGGTGGCATCAGGTACCTGGCGTGTGGCACACGACCTGACATCTCGGTTGCTGTTGCCAAGTTGAGTCGCTTCCTGGAGAACCCTGGTGAGAAGCACTGGGATGCTGGAATCAAGGTGGTGCGATGTATGTTGACGACCAAGGACGTGGGCAGCGTGTACGACGGATCGCAAGGAACAGAGCTCGTCGCCTACTCGGATGCAGACTGCGCAACCGCGACGGCAGACGCTCGGTTAGCGGGACAATGCTCATGATGTGCGGGCACCTGTGATTTGGCGCTCTACGTTTCAGAAGTCCGTCGCGCTAAGCTCGACTGAGGCTGAGTGCATGGCTCTGAGTGACTGCATCAAGGAAGTAGTGTGGATACGCCTACTGCTCAAGGACATTGGTGCTGAACAAGAGGGGGCTACGGTGATCTACGAGGACAACCAAGGTGCCATGGCGTTGGCGAAGAACGTCGGTTATCAAGCTCGTACCAAGCACATCGACATTCGCTACCACTTCATTCGTGAAAAAGTTATGAGTGGGGAAGTTGAGCTGGAGTATATGGAAACCAAG